TTCCTTCCTTAAAGGACATTAGTGAACCAGGTCGGTTTTCACTGCAGTCGATGATGGTCTTGGGCTTCCTATCATTGCGACTGGCTTTCAATTCCAGATTTAATAATTGAATTTAAATTCCACTGCTGTTGTGGCATCTTAACCCATATCTGCCTGACTGTTATGCCACTGTCTTCACTAATTTGCCAAAAAGATAAATCCTAACATTAGGGAAAATTTTTTCTTGGTTTGAAGAATGTGAAACACCAATTTATCAATCCCAGAAGATCAATCTGCCATCTAGGGCCGTTGTAAAATTGTCTTTTGCTGATCTGAAGTCCTACTGCCAGTGGTGTGATGACCCAACCTAAGCAAGATACCCAAATGGCAGTGGTCTTGAATGTCAAGATGAGTCTGCTGGGGTTAGATTGCCAACTTGCCACTTGACTGCCCATGCAGATCTTAAACTGCTTCTTTTCAATCTGAAAGATTTCCTTTGAGTCCGTCCTGAGAATATTAAATTGGGGCTGGAACCACAGTGTTGTAACCAAGAATGAGGCTTTGAAATGCCCAAATGTGACTCATTTCATTTGAAAATGTTATGCATTTCCCAAGATAAAAGCTGGTCATTTTCTTTAGTTGCAGTTGGACTAATCATCAAAGCATTCCCTGGCATTAAAAGCACAATGCTCCTTTCTCTTCAGTGAGACCTCCTGTAACACAGACCCTTATTTAAAAGAACCTTCAGACACAGTAATTCTACATACACCAAACAAACTAAAGCTTTCCAGACCAATTCTTGACCACATCACAAATGCAACTGAGTGACATTTGGGAAATGCATGCTAAATGTACCAACAAACCCACGCCAGCCATTGCAGTCTCACTAATACTGTCTGAATCTGACAGCGCACACTTTGGAAATCTTGGCATAAGTTTTAAGATTCCTGAAAGAATTTGCAAGGAAGTCTGCGCAGCTATTTCCAAGGAGTCTTAACAAGTATAAGCACTGCTTGTGGACAGATGCTTTTAATCCCTCCACCTGCTAAATTAATGAAAATGTTAATTTACTTAAATAAACTGTTTAATACTATGGGAATATAGGAGTATTATTCAGCTAGACTCTTAAAATGTACTAATCATTAGAAATGTTGAATGTTAGCTGTCTTTTAGTCCCATTTTGTTCTGACACACTGGAGGAAGAGTTGCAGATCACTTAATATCTGAGCATCTGGATTTTTTTCACATCCAGAGATACAAGTTCTCCATTTTGCAAAACTAATGCATTGTACTGTGCAGTTTCATAGATTTGTAACTGTCCCTATAAAATGCAATAAAACAAAGTGGATGTTGAAAGATCACAACCTGATTGATGGGATCAGTTTTTCTGATGAAGGGTCTAGGCCCGAAACGTCAGCCTCTCTGCTCCTATGATGCTGCTTGGCCTGCTGTGTTCATCCAGCCCTGCACCTTGTTGTCTCGGATTCTCCAGCATCTGCAGTTCCTACTATCTCTGATGGGATCAGTGTGCTGTTTCTATCAATCCGAGATATAGAAAATCATTTCCTTGATAAATCCCTATGTTCACATTTTAAATTCAGGCTTGGGATCTAAACCATCCAATAGCACGATCAGGTTTGTAGCAAATCAGCAGCTGGGTTTTCACCACACTAGTTTTTATTTTCTCTTGGGCTTGAGGAGAATATTGCCAAGATTTTTAATTTCATACAGGAAATAAGGTCCCCAAAAAGAGATTGAATTGCCATTCTGTAAGCTTCAGGAGTAATATGGGACACAGTGAGAAATTGCCTGCCTATTTACTCTGAGTCCACTGTGCTGTTCACATGAGTCATGTTGTAATTACACCTTGAATCAGTGATGGTGCCCAATTAGTGGCTACAGGTTTTATTGTTGCATGACAATTTACCTGAGCAATTTCTCTATCATGGGCGAGGGCATGCAATTTTAACTTGAATACCAGCTATTGAACTGTTAAAATACAAAATCATCTTGTTGTTTGACTACTACAGAAATATTGCCCAGAATATGATTACTGGGGCAATTACATTGTTGCTGTTTGCTTTATTTCAGGGGGCCAAGGTAATATTATCTCACCGAATGCAGTCATTCAGGGCGGACTTCTAAGGATTGTTGCTGTGGAACGTTCGGATGAAGCAGAGTACTCCTGCAAAGCTTCAAACAATGCTGGATATCACATTGCCACATCTATTCTCTATGTGCAAGGTAAGAACCAAATTTAAATTTCAGTCAAGATGTCTCCATATTACCTGTGCCCTGTTTATTGGACAACTACCCAGAGAGAGAAACCAATAAAATTTGGAAGTTCCTTTAAAATTTGCAAGTTCCTTTTTCCTGTTCCTTTATTTTGCATTATACAAGACATATTGGGCCAGTGTGTCTCATTTGTTAGTTTTATTGGTCCTTTTCCTTCTGGGCAATTGATAAGTCTGGACTGGCGCTCCTAAGGCTCATTATCTGGGCTGTTGTGTCCCAGTCAGAATTAAGAAGGCCCCTGTTTTATTTCAAATCCTTGGTCTATGCTAAGGACAGGACATCAAGCACTAGATTTGACTCGTATCCATGGACAAGAGAGAAACCAGACACCCCTGGATCCTTGCATTCTTATCACCATGTCATGACCTTTCAAGGTTCTTACATACAACTTGGGTAAGTTAGTGGAAGCTGAGCCCTTTTGCAGCCATGAGCTTGTGTTTGAACAGGGAGGGAGCAGATTCACTGAAGGGAAATTGGTAGTTCAAAATCCTTGCTCAGCCTTTCCGTGGATTTCGTGAAATATGCCAAAAACATTTTCTGTTACCTCAATCACAAATAACTCAACTAGAAACATGCTGCAGAATTGGAAAGTGAATCTTTTAGCTAGATCATGGATACAGTTCCCACATGGAATGTCTCATTTACATAAACAATGTGAACCAACTCCAGGTAATAATTTGGTGTATACTTAAAGTATATAGAGTATTCTACACTACTGGAAAGAATAGGTACGGTACTCTACTACTGTATAGTGATATACAGCACTGTGCGTACAGTACTCTAGACTACTAGATAGAGTATATACTGGAGTACATACAGTAGCACAGACTTGGCATATTTTCAAAGTGGCGACTTTGTAGAAAGTGGTCACATTTGCTGAAAATAAAGTGTGATTTGTTACAGTTACAGCACGTAAAGGAGTTAACGTTGGAGCTGGTTATAATTTCAGTAACAAATGAATTAACGTTGTGGACAATATACCTATGCAGAAAATGTGTCTGGGTTTCTCTTGATGAAGGTTATCTGTTACTGTTCAAGTAAAAACAAGATACTGCAAATGCTGGAAATCTGAAATAAAAACAAAGTGCTAGAGAAACTGAGCAGGTCATGCAGCAGCTGTGGGGAGAGAAACATTTCGTGTCCAAAGACTCTTGTGCTGAAGAAAAGTATGTCAGACTCGAAGTGTTAACTCTGTTTCTCTCTCCACAGATGCTGTCAGACCTGCTGAGTTTCTCCAGCATTCTCAATTTTTATTGCTGTAAATATTCCTTTGACTAACAATTTGCAAAAGGTTACAAGACATGCATTAGTCACAATCCAAGGTCTGTAGG